AAAACTTAGAATAAAGCCTCAAGTGGAACTGCTAATACTGTAAAGAGACAGTACCTAGCAAGATATTGGGAAGCTATGTTCTGTAGTGTATTTCAGAATACAACTCAAGAATAGGACATGAAAATCCTTTTTCACTGACCCTGAAAGATACTGATTCATTTTCTGTGGTTACTCAAGCATTTTTAAAAATTGTTAAGTATCTGACACATATTAAGAGACTCTATACATATGCATGTACATATATACACACACACACATATAAACACACACTATACACACATATATAGCATATATGATATGGAAAAAACCTACCATGAACCTACTAATCGTTAAAAATTGGAGAAAATATTAAACTTTTCATAAATTTATGTAACATTCTTATACAGGGGCCATGCCAATACACAAAAGAGACAATCAGACCACTTTTCGTAAGATCTCTCCATTATCTTACTGAATTCTATAATCTGTCCTATTTAAAACACCTTTCTAGCCAGGCGCGGTGGCTCACGCCTGTAATCCTAGCTCTCTGGGAGGCTGAGGCGAGTGGATTGCTCAAGGTCAGGAGTTCGAAACCAGCCTGAGCAAGAGCGAGACCCCCATCTCTACTATAAATAGAAAGAAATTATTTGGCCAACTAAGATATATATAGAAAAAATTAGAGCCTGGCATGGTGGCGCATGCCTGTAGTCCCAGCTACTCGGGAGGCTGAGGCAGCAGGATCCCTTGAGCCCAGGAGTTTGAGGTTGCTGTGAGCTAGACTGACGCCACGGCACTCACTCTAGCCTGGGCAACAGAGTGAGACTCTGTCTCAAAAAAAAAACAACAAAAAAACACCTTTCTAAATTTTTTGCTCTTTTAAAAATGCAGTAATAATTTTTAATTTCCAGTACTAGATTCATGGGTAGCCTATCAAATAGCTACTAGATTTTACCCCACAAGAGTTTTCTAGATGTATGTATACCCCAAAATGACATTAAGATCTTTTTATGTAAAGTCACTATAGAAATATATACCAAAACAATGCAAGTAATACAAACAAAACTTGCCTCCTTTCCAAACCAATAGTTCTTTTATTCAAAAATATCAGATGCTACCAAAATACATTTTTTAACTACAAAGTTGCATAGAGTGTGAACACTTTATACTCATTCCTAAGAATAAGTAATGACAAAAACTCTCTTAACTTCTAGGAATATGCTTTCCTCCTTGTCCTTTTGAGAGCCCCCATCATACAATTCATAGATTCAAATGGATTAGAATCTCTTCCAAGACAGAAACCATATATTATTTATCCACTATTCATCATTGTGTCCCCTGCATAGGATTAACTCAATGTTTGTTACAACTAAGCTAAAATCCAAGAAATTAGGTTTGAACTACCTCAGTCCCAATGCAAAACTGGAAAAAAATGAGCCTACTTCTCAAGAGTTTGAGAATAAAAAGATACTAAAAAAAAGAATAAAACCACAGATACTTGTGTTACATTATATTCCTTTATCACCTAACTCAGAAGTATGTACTAACTGCAGAAATAAGTTTGGGAAGAATAAAAAGAATAAATAAAAACCTGGATCCTAAAGTTCTCCTATCAACATGCTCAAATACTATCATAGACTCTTCCACCTTAAACTCACACAAACATCTCCACATCCTAAATAAAACTTATAAAAAAAAAAAAGGCTTTCAAATGAGACCTAATAAAAATTGATTCTATTTCATTACAGTTCAAGTTCCTGAAATTGTATGCATAAATCATGTGATTGTGCTTATGTTCATTTTCTAATGTGTGAGCCCAGTGTCTTTCATCAGATTCTCAGAAGGATAAGTGACCCAAAAAAACTTCAAGAACCATTAATCTAACATATCAAGAAACATTCCACTTTCCAGAGGAATACAGTTAAGTTGGCTTAGTTAATGCATTCTTCCTTCATATTCATAGAGGGGATCTTTACTATAAAATTAGTCTTTCGAAGAATTCCTTCAGCCCAGCCAAGAAGTTCCAATATCCACAAATACTTATATCAACAAATCCCATATCCCAAAAACAGTTTACTCATAAATGCACGCCCCTAAAAAAAAGACAAAGAATGCACAATCTATCATAAACCAGCCACTCTGTTAGCTTCTTAAATATTCTTGTATCCTTCCATATTAAACTCTCTGGAAGACCTAAATTTCCTCCAATCTGTAAAGACTTTTAATGAAGGTTTTCTGGTTTTAATTCCACGCTGACTTATCTGCCTCACTCAACTTAATACACACTACTGTTAAGACAATTCCCTTCATATATACCCAGGATATTTACAGGAATACTCTTGATTATTCTCACTCCAAGGCAGGGACCATTTATTGAACAGGCAGGTCAATAAATATTTGTTGAATGAATGAAAAAGGATCCTTCCTCCAATAGATTTAAAGTCAAGCCATCAGCACCCATGCAGCTGCTCTGGTACAAGTTAAGCTGTGAAAGCATTCCCTCTCTCTCAAACATAACAAGCTAAAGTGTCAGAAATGCTCTGCTTTCTCCACAGACACAAAATAATATAGTTTTGGATATCCATTTTACAGGTCACATTGGCCAAAGACAACATGCATTCCATATACGTGTCTCTCACAGTTGGTCTCTTCCAAATATAACCCAACCAGTAATACGTGCTCCTATCTCTCCAATATGCTCAGATTTGCCAACAAACACCTCCTGAGATGCCATGGTATGGCAAATATACTACTGTATTGGTAGTCAAAATATTTGTTATAGTCCCAACTTTGTCACCAATTTAACTTGTGACCTTGGAAAAATTATCTCTTTATGCCTCAGTTTCCTATTTTGTAACATGTGAAAAAATATCCTACCATTTTCACAGAAATTTAAGAGCACAAAGAAACTGAAAGAGCATTCTCATTACAAAGTGTATGTAAACCCATGTCAACAAAAAAGACCACCCATTCTTTAAAGCCTGTAGCAAGTATTGTTAAAGATGTTCAGGACCTTCACATTTACACAATTCATTCTATTCAAAGGCACAAATGATTCTTAAGACCACAACTGTCTATGCCAAGTTTCTCCCCTCCCTGATCCCACACACAAATGTTATATAGAATACTACCATTACTGCTCTTTCCCAACAAGTAACTAGATGCTCCCAAACCCTAAAATACACACACGTATCAACCTGCAGGGAACATCCCAACACTTATTTAAAAAATAAGCTAACTTACAAGGGGAACTCCATTACACTTATACAAATACAAGCAAACTCTTCCGGAACACTTTCCATCCTTGCATACACACACAAACACAGCCGCTACACACCAACAGACCATCTGTCTCCTAAACCAAAAACATGCCTTTCCATGTACAAACTAACCAGTTACATTTATTAAACTTGTAACACTGAAATCATTCTGTTGTTCCTACATACAGTTCAATGTGTCAGGGACACCACAGACCTTGTCATACAGGTAAACTACCCTCTGACCATTTCCCTTACCACTCTTACCCCCTAAACGGACACAAACTGGACTATGGGGGAGGCTCCAATCATGCCTACATACACAAACTAATCTGTCAGGGGCGCAGCCGACTCCGCCTCCACTAGCTTACTTTCCAGCCCCCTCCCCCAAGCCAGGAGTCCGCTTGTCAGGGGCACCCCTTCACCCCCGCCTGGAGGGACTTCCCGGTAAGCTTAGGATCCCCTTCCCTAATCTCCCCTCCCCCATCTTACCACCGTTCCCCCGAAGGTCCAGGTCCGGGAGATGACAGTAGCTCCCAGAAGCCAAGGACTGAATCGCTGAGAGAGTACTTAGGCCTAAAGGCCTGCCCAAACCGTTCTACTCACCGTGTCAGAGGCCGAGGCCGAGAGCGATGAGAGTGCAGGGAAGTAGGGAAGAGGGGGTGGCCGCCAGGCTCCTCCGCTTCCCTTGGTCCACGGCGGATCCCTCCCGCTTGTCAGGAGGCGGCCAGCGGGTAAGCGGACTGGCGGAAATGCGAGAGAGGAGAAGGGAAAGGTGTAGGGCTAAAGGGGGAAACTGAGGGGAGGCGGGTCCCGCAACCGAGACGGGGATCGTCTCCCCCTCCGCAAAGCGAACCCAAAATGGCGGCGGGAGCAGCGGCAGCGGCGGCAGAGCGGCGGCGGCGGCGGCAGCTCCTCGGGAGGGAGGGAGCGAAGGGCGCCTCGTGCCCCCCCACCTCCCACTCCTCCCTCTTCGCGTACTCCCCCACTGTCCCCCACACACACCCGACTCTGGCCGCGGAGCGCGCACGCCTGTCCGCACGCGTATGAGGATTTCTGGGCTAGTCGTTCGCTGCTCCCACCAACCACCACCTTCGGCCGCCCAGCTCCCGCGCGCCAGCTAGCCAGCCCGTACGCTGTTGCTCAGGGGCACCTCCTCGCGCGGTCCCCACTCCCCCCCTCAGCCCCTGTCAAACCAGCTCGGGCATAGGCCCTCACGCGTACCTTCAGCGGCGCGAGCCTGAGCCTCCTCCTCCTCCTCCTCCACCTCCTCTTCTTTCCTCCCCCCGTTCCCCGCCCCCACGGCCACCAACCGCCGCCACGGCCGCCGCCGCCGCCGCCGCCGCCGCCGCCGCCTCCTCCTCCACCAGCCCCCCCCAACCCTCCACCTCCTCGCGCGTGCGCCTCCCACAATCCCCCCCGCGAGACTGTTCCATTCCCTTCGGCTGCAGGGGCGGTGGAGAAAAGGACAGGCAAAAGCGGATAGAGCTTGCTGTTATGACTGTAATTACCAGAGTGGAAAGCAGAGACGTAGGACAACCTATCCCCCTAGGCTCCTCGCCACGGGACTGAGGCTAGTCTCCCTCCTCGTCCTCTGCCCTCGCGCCCCTCTCCTGGCCGGTGGTTGGAGGCCGCGGCGGCTGCGCGTTGAGTTCTTCCTGCCGCACCACCCGAGCTTTCTTCGCAGTCGCGGAACGGGCGCCTGGAAGTCTTCGTCTGTCAGTGTCTGCCGGTCTTCACGTCAGGAGAACTAGTCCTCGACTCACGGTGAGGAAATGGACCTGCACGGGGGTTGGACCTATGCGGGAAAGCAGTGGTACTCCGAGCCTCTCTGAGGTAGGGAGTGAGGCCAGCAGGACTGGCGCCCTACCTAAGGGGCTTCCTCCGGGATCTCAGTTGTCAGCCTGGGACCCACGGAAGAACCAGCGTGGGGGTCTGCTTCTTGTTGTGAGCCCAGCTCAGATTTCGTGAATTTCATACGAGATAGTATTATTTTTGGCCGTTTACGCACTTTTCAGGGATGGTAGATGCATCTTTAACCTCTTTAGGGCAGCCTGATGTTAGAAGATGAAGAAACCATGTATTTCTAATTCAGTTCTAGATTCGGTCTCCCATGTCTTGTACGTCCTTCAGCAAGTTATTTTTCTTAGTTCTTTTTTTTTTGGAGACAGAGTCTCGTTTTGTTGCCCAGGCTAGAGTGAGTGCCGTGGCCTTAGCCTAGTTCACAGCAACCTCAAACTCCTGGGCTCAAGCAATCCTGCTGCCTCAGCCTCCCGAGTAGCTGGGACTACAGGCATGTGCCACCATGCCTGGCTAAATTTTTCTACATATATATTAATTGGCCAATTAATTTCTTTCTATTTAGAGTAGAGACGGCGTCTCGCTCTTGCTCAGGCTGGTTTCAAACTCCTGACCTCAAGCAATCCCCTGCTCGGCCTCCCAGAGTGCTAGGATTACAGGCGTGAGCCACCGTGCCAGGCCTTTCTTAGTTCTTTATCAAAAACTGTACATAAAAATTAGTCAACTCCAAATATGCTTTCAGGGTTAATGTATGAAATAATAATACATGTAAAGTAAAATTAGCTCCTAGGCATAGGGAAAGTGCAGAATATTATTATGTTATCATTTACAGTAGTTGATAAGGTTTGTGGGTGTAATTGGTAGTTTGTATTCTATCCTTCCAAAACAAAACAATGCAAATCTAGATCTATCAGATTCCTGTGGCTACTAAATACTTGTTTTTTGAAACTCTTTCCTGACATTTGATGATTCAATTCAGGAAAACTATGGAGTATTAGAATCCACAGATAATTCCAAAGTTTATTTAATCTAGTAGTTTTTACTCTCACCCAAAGGATAAAGCAGAATAAATTAGGGGAAGGATCTACTTGGGTTTCCCTTTCTGTCACATATGTGGACTCCTAGGGATCCAGGAAATAATTTGAAAATTGCCATACTAGATTGATCTCAAAAGCCCATTCAAGCTCTAAAATTCAAGTAGACAGTCCTAAATTTCCCCCTTACAATATATGGATTGAGTTTTATTTGCTTGTTTTGTTTTTTCACGGTAAAGAGGAAATCAGCCTTAATTACCCCATTATATGTTTACTTTTCCTAACCAAGTCCCAATATTTTCATAGAGCCCAGTTAAGTTTACACAGATCTTTTGCTTCATGCATGCAAGTATGTTATGCTACCAACAGTCTTATTTGAGGGCAGGGACTATGTCTAACATTTTATTTACATGCTTTCACAGTCTAGTGCAAAGCAAGTCATGGAAATATTGAAATGAATATTAGAGTCTTAAAATATCAGAAAAGAAATAGAAATAACATTTGTGGACTACTGTGCCAGGAGAACATGAGTTCTTGTTTGATCTTTATAGTAAATAACACTTTGAGATAAATAATCATACCCCCATTTTACAGAAGAGAAGCTCGAGGCCCAGAGAAGTCTAGTAACTTGATCGTTAGACTGTAGTTTGCCTGTGTCTTAAAAAACTAACTTTTTTCACTATACCACATTGCCTTCATACTAAAATTTCTCATCAGTAGCATGATTGCCTATGCTTCAAAGAGAAAGTACTTTTAATGGAATTTCACTACACCAGTATATGAAGAAAGTTATTTATGGTCTCTGCATTCAAGTAGCTTTTAATAACTATACTAATTCATAAATTGTTATCTAACTGTAGGTAAATAAGATAGTGTTCTGTTCTTTTGTGTATGCCCCAGAGCCTACCAGAGACTGAAATATAGTAAGTGCTCAATAAACTGACCTCACTGAATGAATGACCCCTGAATTATTTGAACCAACACAGGTATTAAAAACAGAATACTGGTTTCCCCAAAGATGGCCATGTCCTAATCCCTGGGACCTGTGAATATGAATATGTTATGTTACATAACAAGAGAGAAATAAAGATGCAAATGGAATTAAGGTTGCTAATCACCTGACTTGAAATAAGGAAATTATCCTATATTGTCCAGCTGGGCCCATTGTAATTACAAGAGTCCTTAAAAGATGGAAGAGGGACACAGAAGAGTGAGTGCCAGAGTAATGCAATGCAAGAAAAACTCTAGCCATTGCAGATTTTGAAGATGAAAGGGGACCATGAGCCATCCAGCCTCTAGAAGCGAGGAAAGACAAGAGACTCCAAGAGCCTCCAAAAAGAAATGCAACTCTACTGACACTGACACTTTGATTTCAGATTTCTGAACTATAGAACTATAAGATTATAAATTTTTGTTGTTTTACACCAGTAAGTTTGTGATAAATTTGTTATAGTAGCAATAGGAAACTAATACCTATGAGCAGCCAGCCAAATCAAAGTAGTCTGCCTAGGTTGTGATTTTGTGCTTTAATTAATTATTTTATTTATTTTTTGAGACAAAGTCTCACTATGTTGCCCAGGCTAGACTGCCGTGGAGTCAGCCTAGCTCACAGCAACCTCAAACTCCTGGGCTCAAGCGATCCTCCTGCCTTAGCTTCCGGAGTAGCTGGGACTACAGGCATGCACCACCATGCCCAGCTAACTTTTTCTATATATTTTAGTTGGCCAATTAATTTCTTTCTATTTTTAGTAGAGACAGGATCTCATTCTTACTCAGGCTGGTTTCGAACTCCTGACCTTGAGCAGTCCTTCCAGAGTGCTAGGATTACAGGCTTAAGCTACGGCGCCTGGCCTTGAGGGTGTGGTTTAACTCAATATTGTCTTCAGGCAAAGTGATAGACACTCAACAAAGCTGTCTAGATGTCCAATATTTCCTTACTGTTCTGCTTCTTCTTTTTTTTTTTTTTTTTTTTTGAGACAGAGTCTCACTTTGTTGCCCAGCCTAGAGTGAGTGCCGTGGCGTCAGCCTGGCTCACAGCAACCTCAAACTCCTGGGCTCAAGCAATCCGACTGCCTCAGTCTCCCGAGTAGCTGAGACTACAGGCATGCGACACCATGCCCAGCTAATTTTTTCTATATATATTTTTAGTTGGTCAATTAATTTATTTCTATTTTTGGTAGAGACGGGGTCTCGCTCAGGCTGGTTTCGAACTCCTGACCTTGAGCAGTGCACCCGCCTCAGCCTCCCAAAGTGCTAGGATTACAGGCGTGAGCCACCACGCCCGGCTGTTCTGCTTCTTCTGACATCAGTCCTTAAGCTGTAAGTAGACAGCTAGACCCTTACATTACTATATTGCAATTTACCTGAGCTGCCCTCAGAATTTCTCCACTAGAGAAGTAATTAAACACTTATTTCATGATACTTCCTTGCTGGGAAGTCGTCTAGATGCAATATAAACAGGGAAGGCTCTTTAATATAAACTTTTTCCCCCACACACCAGTCATTCATTATTGGGCATTAATGCTCAAGTAAAATATGAAAGGGGCCAGGCTCACCCCTATAATCTTAGCACTTTGGGAGGCCAAGGCACGAGGATTGCTTAAGGTTAGAAGTTCAAGACTAGCCTGAGCAACATAGTGAGACAGCCTCTCTACAAAAAAATAGAAAGATTAGCAGGATTTGGTGGTACTCGCCCGTAGTCCCAGCTACTCGGGAAGCTGAAGCAGGAAGATTGCTTGAGCCTAGAAGTGTGAGGTTGCAGTGAGCAATGATGAGCCGCTGCCCTCATACCTGGGCAACAAAGTGAGACCCTGTCTCAAAAAAAAAGACTATGAAAGGATCACCAATGATCGAATGTCCTCAATTTGCCAGATCAAGGAGGTCGCAGTCTGGAATGTAGAGTGTACACCCTCCACACTGGCACTCCTGTGGCTGCTCATGTTTGAATTTCTTTAAAGAAAGGTAATAGTTGGCTGGGCCCGGTGGCTCATGCCTATAATCCCAGCACTTTGGGAGACTGAGGTGGGAAGATTGCTTGAGGCCAGGGGTTCCAGACCAGCCTGGTCAACATAGTGAGGCCCCTTCTCTACAAAAAATAAAAAGATAAAAAACATTAGCCAGGTGTGGTGGCACCAAGCTATTTGGGAGACTGAGACAGGAGGCTTACTGAACCCAGGAGTTCAAGGCTGCAGTGGGCTATGACTGGGCCACTGCACTCCGACCTGGGTGACAGAGTGAGACCCTGTCTCTTTAAAAAAAAAAAAAAAAAAAGGAAGAAAGGCAGAAGCTGCAAAGCACATGAGCTGCAGAAACCATAGAAATCATATTGAAGCCACCCATAGTAACCTCTTTGAAATGCTGTAACAGTGCCTTTAGAGGTGAAATCCCACATTAATATCCAGTTTGGCAGCTCACCTAGTTTGACATCCGTGAGTTTCTTCTCCTTTACTGGTACAGCTGCTGCCATATTGGGGTCCTGGTCTGATGTAAACTTATAAAATGAGGTTTCAAATGTTAAAATAATTTTTTAAGGTAAAATTTACTGGAATATGGTCAGGATTGATAAGTTATGGGTAAATACTATATAAGCATAACCGTTTATAAATAATTTTTTATTTAACAAGAGAAGATCTTTGAGATTTTTGTTTGGCTACAGATTGAGTATTCTTTATCCAAATGCTTGGGACTAGAAATGCTTTGGATTTTGGATCTTTTTCAGATTTTGGAATGTTTGCATTATGTTTACTGGTTGAACATCCCAAATTTTAAAATCTGAAATGTTCCAATGAGTATTTCCTTTGAGTGTTACATCTGTGCTCAAAAGTTTTGGATCTTGGAGCATTTCAGATTTGGGATGCCTGTACCAAGACTTTTATCATGCTTTAGATGATTGCCTTTTAGCAAAATAGAAATATACACCCCAGACTGCCTGAATTCAAAGTCCAGCTCTTCTACTTGGTAACTATGTAAACTTGGATAGAGACTTAGTAGTAGTAATAAATT